CTGCCTCTGTGGAAGTGCTAAGGAGGAGCGAGCCAAGCGCTAAGGAGCAAGCGGGCGCTAAGGAGTGAGGGATCCCGATTGCAAAGATGTCCGACTGCCGGCTTAGGCCCGATCTCCACGGGGATCAGGCCTAAGCTGGCAGTCGGATATCTCCCAGGTGGTTATAGACTGCAAGAGGGCGCAGGCCAGGCTGAGGGACCCCCTCTCCCACTCCAGTGCATGAATTTCGTGCACCAGGCCTCTAGTCTTTTCATATATCTGTTGGCCATTTATATGTCTTCTTGGGAGAAGTGTCTGTTCAGGTCATCTGCCCTTTTTTTTAACCTTCACCCAAAGATATATTTTTTATTGATTTTTAGAGAGGAAAGAAGAGATGAGAGAAAAACACTGATGTGAGAAACTTTGATCAGTTGCCTCCTGTAATTCGCTGACTGGGGGGGATCTTTTGGTACATGGAACAAAGCTCCAACCAACTGAGCTACCAGGCCAGGTCCCTCTGGTCATTTTTTAAATGGATTGTTTGTTTGGTGTTGAGTTGTATGAGTTCTTTATATATTTTGAAAATTAACCCCTTGCTGGAGATGTTGTTTGCAGATATTATCTCCCATTCAGTTGGTTGCCTTTTTGTTTTGTTTTTTGGTGGTTTCTTTTGCTGTTCAGAAGCTTTTTAGTTTGATACAGTCCCATTTATTTATATTTGCCTTTACTTCCCTTGCCTTTGGGGTTAAATTCATAAAGTGTTCACTATGACCAAGGTCCATAATTCAGTACCTCTGTTTTCTTATATGTAATTTATGGTTTCAGATCTTATATTTAGGTCTTTGACCTATTTTGAATTAATTTTTGTAAATGGGGACAAAGTGTAATCTAGTTTCATTCTTTTACATGTGGCTTTCTAATTTTCCCAGCACCATTTATTGAAAAGGCTTTATTTTCTCCACTGTGTTTTTCGCTCCTTTGTAAAAATTATTTGCTCATGTAGATGTGGTTCTATTTCTGGACTATCAATTCTGACCCACTGGTCTGTGTTCCTGTTTTCTGCCAATACCCTGCTGTTCTGATTATCATAGATCTGTAGTATAAATTGAAGTCAGGTAGTGTGATACCTTCAGCTTTGTTCTTTTTCCTCAGGATTGCTTTGGCTATTCGAGGTTTTTTGTGGTTCCATACAAATCTGAATTTTTAAACACTTTACTTCCTTTTCAATCTTAATAATGCCTTACAATTTTCAGTATATAGGTGTTTTCACATCCTTTGTTAAGTATATTCCTAAGTATATTATTATTTTTGTTGCGATTACAAAAGGAATTGTGTTTTGTTTCATTTCTTTTTCTGAAATGTCATTGTTAGTATATAGGAATACAGTGGATTTTTATACATTGATTTTGTATCCTATAACTTTACTGTATTTGTTTCTAATTATTAGTTTGGGTTTTTTTTGAGGAGTCTTTAGGGTTTTCCATATACAGACTCATGTCATCTGTAAAAAGTGACAATTTTACTTCTTTATTCCCAATTTGGATGCCTTTTCTTTCTTTCTCTTGCCTGATTGCTCTGGCTAGGACTTACAAAATTATCCGATATAATAAAGATGTAATATGCAAATGGTCATTACGCTGTGAAGCATAACAACTGACCACGTAACAACTGGATCATGGATCAGCAGGAGGGTGGGGCAGCGAGCTACAAGCAGGTGGTGGAGAGCTACAGGAGGGGGCAGGGTAGCAAGCTATGGGGGGTGCAGGGGGTGGAGGGAGCTACAGGAGGGTGGGGAAGCGGGTAGAAAGCTACAGGAGGGCGGCAGCGAGCTACCGGCTACAAGCGGGTGGCAGAGAGCTACAGGAGGGGGCAGGGCAGCGAGCTCTGAGGGATGATGGGGAGGAGGGGGGCAGGAGGACCTACAGGAGAGTGGGGCAGCGGGCAGAGAGCTACTGGAGGGTGGCAGTGAGCTACTGGTGAGCTACTGGCCTACGGATGCGTGCACATGGCTACTAGTGTTTAATAAAAGTGCTGACAGTGGGCATCGTGTCCTATTCCTGTTTTTAGAGAAAAAGCTCTGTTTTTCACCATTGAGTATGATATTAACTAGGGTTTGTCATATATGGCCTTTATTATGCTGAGGTACTTTCCTTCTATATTCATTGTATTGAGTGATTTAATCATCAATGGATGTTGTCAAGCCCCCTGGGCGGGGGGCGCAGCCTCAGGTCCCTTGTGAAGCCCTGCCGGGTGGGGGGGGCACAGTCTCACGTCCCCCGGTCTGGTGCCGGAGTGGGGGGCGCAGCTTGAGGATCCCTGGCCCAGGCCGGGGTGCATGCCTTGAGGTTCCTTGACCCAGGCCATGGGGCAGGGCCCATGGGGGCGCAGGCCTGAAGGGATCCCAAAGCCCAGGGGCAAGGGGGGGCGCCGGCCTCAGGGTCCCCTTGGGCCCAGGGCCGGGGGGAGCGCACTTTTGAGGTTTCCTCCAATCAAAGCCCCGCGGGGAAAGGGGGGGGGGCGCCAGCCTGACGTCCCCCTAGCCAGGTACCATGGGCAGGGGAGTGTAGCCTGAGGTCCCCCCTCAAGCCCCACTGGGTGGGGGTTGCATCCTGAGTCCCCTATCAAGCCCCACTGGATGGGAGGCTCGCCTCAGGTCCCATGATCCAGTGCTGGGGCATGGGGACGGCCTCAGGTCCCCCAGTCTGGTGCCGGGGTGGGGTCATGGCCTGAGGTCCCCCGGCCCAGCACTGAGGTGGAGGCACGGCCTGAGGTCCCTTGTCAAGTCCCGCTGGGCAGGGGGCGCAGCCTCAGATCCCTGCTGATTGCTCATTAAGGCTTGTTACGGGAACTTGGCCTCCCCTGTGGGCGCAGCCATCTTGACCGTTCTGGCATGATGGTCAATTTGCATATTCCCTCTTTATTAGATAAGACTAGATTCGCAGTGCATGGATTCATGCACTGGTGGGGTCCCTCGGCCTGGCCTGTGGGGATCAGGCCAAAACCGGCTCTCCGACATCCCCTGAGGGGTCCTGGATTACGAGAGGGCGCAGGTCAGGCCAAGGGACGCCACTGGTGCACAAATCCCTGCACTGGGCCTCCAGTATTCTATCTATAATAATAAAAGCATAATATGCTAATTACGGATGAAGCTGGGGTTTCAAGGGAAGCCCGGGTCCCGGTTGCCTGCTGGCGGCCAGAGGGAAGCCTGGGTCCCTGGTGCCAGCGGCCAGAGGGAAGCCCAGGTCCCAGTGCCAGAGGGAAGCCAGTGCTGGTGCTGGCAGCTGGGGGAAGGAAGGCCTACTCTTGCACGAATTTCATGCATTGGGTCTCTAGTATATATATATTGATCTGGATAGTGGTCACATCACATTGCACATTTGGCTCTTGAGCATTATGTCATCTCTCTTAACTGAAGTATTTATTTTAATTCCTTTAAAGAAAAACTCCTTAGAAGTGTTATGAATCTCACTCAACACAGCTTTTGTCCTTGTCAAAATCACAAAGCCTCTAAGAGACAAATATTTAATGGCATTGTCCAAGTTTTCTTACCCTAATGTGCCTCACTCCCAACCCGTATCTCTCTCAACCATCTCCTCAGTGGTGTCTCTATGTCTGATCAGAGATTAAAGGTAACTGCCAACAAAACAGAGGACAAGGATGTTTGAGATCCTTATATTCAGGATAAGCTCTAGGGTCCTTCCTTCTTCCACCAAACCAAAGTAAGCTCCCAAAAGGAAATCGAAAGGAAATCCTAATGTCAACACCAACCTTTCAATCATCACTTTGTATATCGCTTTTATATTGCTCACCCTCATGAATCTGTATCTAAATATCTTCATAGAATTTCCATAGTAATTGTACTTTGACAGTTTTGAACAGGGTGAAATGACAGTTTATCTAGATTCCAAGTAACTTTCTAAACGATGGTTATTTTTTCAGTCCATGACAATCACAAATTTAAACAATCCAATGAAAAGCTGCTTTAAAAAGATTCCTTCCCTTTCTCACTTTAAAATGAAAGTACCAAGGAAAAAATAAAAAACGAACCGTATTTATTACAGCTTGCTGTTACATTAAGTCCCACAAAAGGAAAACTGGACCATGCCCAGTGCTTGGTTCTGTACGTTGTTGGCAAGTGAAGTTGAGAACTGGAATGAGGCACTGAGTTAAGTTAGGTCAGACAACACGCAGTCAGCACGCACATTACTTCGGATATTTTACATCAAAACATGAAACAAAGTCACGTCAAGGAAGGTGTTTCAAGAGAGTGAAGCTTTCTCCTTACGCCCCTCAATTAAAAAATGTTAATAAAAGTAAAATTGAAAGATCTTCACAGATACTTTAGATGGTAGCAGAAACCCTGCAACAAAATACAGAAGAAACCTTAAGGCTTTATGTTCTTTTATCGCGTTCCCAGTTTTAGTCACCCGCACAAAGAACTGATCTGCAGAAGGAACTGAAAATGTGTACGGAAGGACGATCGCGGGTCTTGTCAACGTGGAAAACCCCAGGGCCTCGGAGAGGGGCTGCAGCAAATGCCGGGGGGCAGAGCTGTACCAGTACGCGTTTCGGGTGCGGAAGACCATAGTGACTGCTCTCCAAAAGCCGGGCTCGCGGGGTGAGGGAGCGGAACCGGGCACCGCGGGGTGAGGTCCTCTCGGGGGAGGACGCATTCCTAGAGACCAACCTTTTCTGGGAAGAGGAGGCCGGGAGTAAAGAGAGCCGTCGGGGGACCCCCACTTTTAAAGGCACTTGCAGGCTACAGAGCACTCTCACGGGCTTTCTCTCCTCCGACACAAGGTCCTTCCTGCTGACCTCCAGCATCTGCGGACGCAAAAGGCCCCGCGCGAAGGCCCTTTCCAAGGTCCGCACCCAGAAGGGCCCACGACGCAACCGAGTCGCGGCTCCGGGCCCGCGGCCGCTCGCGCCCCCTGGGGTCCAATAGGCGCGCACGTCACTCGCCCGCTGCCAATCGGCGCCGGGCAGCTCACCTCCTCCGGGCCCGCAGCCCCGCCCGCCGCCCGCCCGCCTCTGCTGTTGGCGCAGGCGCCGCTGCGGCTCGGTGCTTGGGGACGAGCGGACGCCGCCGGCGAGGATGGTGCTGGAGAGCGTGGCCCGCATCGTGAAGGTGCAGCTCCCCGCGTACCTGAAGCGGCTCCCAGTCCCCGAGAGCATCAGCGGGTTCGCCCGGCTCACAGGTAACCCCCACCGCAACCCCGGCCCATCCTCGTGCGCTCCCCAGGAGGGGGCGGGGTTGGGGGGGGGGGCGTCTGAACATCCTCGGGCCAAGGGGCGGGGCTCGGCGGGGGGGCGCGTGACCCCGTGACCCGGCGGCGCGCCGGCGCAGCCGCCAGGGCCGCGTGTGCTGCCTCTCGGCCGGGCGGCGAGGCGAGGCTCCGGGCTTGTCCTCGCCTCCGGCTCCGCTGTCCTTCGGGGGGGGCGGTTTTTCCCAGCGGCGGCGGCGAGCTGGGCCCGGGCTGCTCTCGCCCTCGCCGGCGCTCTCGCGGTCCGCTTTGTTTGTATCCCGGCCGCCGTGTGTCGGGCAGCTCGCTCTCTGCTGGGTTTCACCACAGCGGGTGTGTGCAGGAATATGTTGGCCAGAGACACACAGACCATAGGTACATGGCAGCTTTATTTAGTGGAAAAGTTAGAAATAATCTCAGACCCACAGGGAGAGATGGGGGCATTTGCGGTCGCCTCCGTTCCTATGGGTCTGGAGGCAGTTGTGGTAACGAGTTGGAGGAAAGATCTATTAGCCAAAAAGGGTTCCAAAGCTAGGACGGTGGCCCAGATCTTAGAAAATGAAATTTAATTTATGGATGTCACATTATGTACTTACAAAAAAATAAGTAGCCCACAACGCAGATTGCAAATCTAAAGGCTGAAATTTTCCAGAATGCAGGCAACCCTTGGGAGATTTTGTTGAGCCCTGGGCATTGCGTTGTGAGAGGCCGCCTAGGATGTTGAGGGGAGAAGCCACGTTGGTTCGGCCAACGTTGACCTCCTGTGCTGAGTATCGGATGTGAAGCATGTAAATAATCTTAGGTAAATAGGCTTGCTTAGCTTGGAGCAGCCTGGAGATCCATGTTAACTGACGTACAGTACAGCATTTGGAAGCCTGACTGGAAGATTTTTATTTTTATTTTTTTAAGTATACTTTATTGATTTTTTACAGAGAGGAAGGGAGAGGAATAGAGAGTTAGAAACGTCGACCAGCTGCCTCCTGCACACCCCCCACTGGTGATGTGCCCGCAACCAAGGTACATGCCCTTGACCGGAATTGAACCTGGGACCCCCTCAGTCCGCTGACCAACGCTTATCCACTGAGCCAAACCGACCAGGGCTGGAAGATTTATTTTGTGTAGACCAAAAGACAACTAGGACTAAATTAGTGAAAATTATTTGGAGATGATTTCAGCTCCACTACACGGACGTTAAAAAAATTATTTTTTAATTGAGGCAAACTTTCCCCAAACAAGTGCCTTGGGAGATTAAAACAATAATAAAACATAAAAAGCAGAGTCTGGTGGGCAGATAGATTTAGATGGGAAAACTAGATGACTGTTACAAATCTAGAGATTCTTTGAGTTGTGGACAGAGTTGCTCTGTAGGTAAATGGCTGTGAGATATTAACATTTTAGATGTTAAAGGATTTGGTAGAAAGCTTGTAATTTAATAGAAACCTTGGTAACCAAATAATAAACATCTGAACATCAGAAGCCACATAAAAGTAACATAAAATGAAAAAAGTTTCAAATCAAGTGTTTATAAATATCAGTCTTCTTTTGGTCCAAACAGTTTACTGGTATCTTGATAGAATTGCAGCAATTATGTAAAATCGTGTGTTTTCCCCTTTATCATTTCTTTTACTTAAGCACTTTACTTATTTTTATGTATTCCTCATCTTGTTCTAACAACTATTTGATCTGATTTTAGATTAACATCACAGTAGGCCTAACCATTCCCCTGCAGCTGGAAATTTTGAATGTTTATATAAATATAATGTATCTTTTTTTCATAATGCTCAGTGGTAAGTAGCCCTGTGCCAATACCAATTGTTTTTTTTTTCTCTTTTGAATTATACCTTGGGTATAGTAATACCAGGTCAAAAGGATGTTACATTTTGTGACATTTGTTCCCAGTTGCCAACTTACTTTTTTAATAATTTGCATAAGTTAACTGCTGAATTTTTAACAGTCAAGAAAGAAAAATGCCCTCTTACTCCCACCCCAATCCCGAATTATGTGTGTTAATTCTGATGATGGATGGTTTTATATTAGTTTCCCTTTTCTGTATATAGAGTGTAGTTGAAGCATATTAGAACGTATATTTGATTGAGTGGCTAGAAGATTTTACAAGTGTGGTTTTTTTTTAAGGATCCCTCTTGTCAACAAATATTTAATTTCTATTAAAGGCATTAAGAAAACTCAAGCTAAGTCTCTCCTTAAATCAATAATATATAGTAACTTCCTCTTTAAAGTTTTTACACATTTAATGGGAGGCCTGATTCTCAGAAATAATGACAACTCTGGTAAATATCTTAATAGTACATACTTAACTTAAGTTCCATTACAGTGTGTCTAGTTGTTATTGTATTGCTTATTTGTTTAGGAAACATAAACATGTTTTTAATAGCTGCTTTATGAAAAAAAAATGAGATAGGCTGTTTCACTCTGGACAATGACAGTGTAGCAGTTGTAGACTCTGCTTTGCAGTGCTATGGAAGAAAAGCAATTTCCACTCTGAGTCTGCCTTTAAGAGCAGATGGTAATAGCTAGTGACATTTGGCTCCCTTGAATGAGCTACTTAGAGAATCATACTTAGACTTTGTTGAAATAAAAATCTGAAAGATAACTTTTCAGCAATTGTGTAAAAGTTTAAGAGACCAAAAGTATTTTCATTTTCTATCTATGACAATTAGGGCAAAAAAAAGTTACAGTTCACATTGTTGCCTGTTTTTCCTTCCCTATTTAGATACAGCGGTTAAAAAAAAATTGACTCTCATGATGACTCTGCATTCTTAGTAAACACTTGGGGAGATCCTTAATTACCCATTATCGTATAGTATTTACAGACAATCCTTATCTACCAGAGACGACTTATCTATTTCAGTTTAGGTCACATTTCTAAGACTGAGGCTTTTAAGATAAATTTGTATGGTTTTGCCCTTTGGAAGTATAGTGTATCTTAATACCCTGACCTTTAAAAAGCTTTCCCTGTCATATAAACTTTTAAAATAGAACGAAAAACATCTTCTCATTCTAAAGTCAGAAAATTATTTACTTCTAGATCTAAAAGCTAGCTCTTAAACTTTGAATATAGTAGATCTTTCCCCCTTGAATTAGTTTGCTTTGAAATGAAATGGTTTTGATCCTAAAGGCAACTTTTTTCCCAGTGAAACAGCTTTAAGGGCATTAGCTCTATTTATCTAGAAAGGGCCAGTTTTGAACAGAGAATTTAGAAGTGGAACAGAGTTAATAACATATTTCCACAAAAAGACATACAAGCATGTTCATAGCAGCCTTATTTATAATAGTCCCAAACTGGGAGCAATCCAAGTATCTACCAACAAGAGAATGGATAAACAAATTATGGCATATTCAGAGTGAAATACTGGTTAACAATGAAAAGGAATGAATTACTGATCCACTGATGAATCTCAAAAACTATATTGAGTGAAAAAAGCTTTGATTATAGAAATCAGTTGTGGAAGATAGACTAAAAAGGGGCAGAATAATACTTTCTGGGGTGATAGAAATATTATACACATTTTCAGCTGAGGCTACAGGGTTGTATTTAATTGTCACAACCCAGAGCTAATCACCTATCAGTTTGTTGTATGTAAATTGTACCTTTTTTTTTTTTTTTAAAAGAAATGAACCAAAAGTGAGTTTTCTCAATAGGAAAGTATAATAAAACATTAAGTTCAAACTAAAGAGTTGCATTTATTAATAAGTAAATAATAAAGGTTATTTGTGAAATATTGAAGAATTTTATTTTAGAAAACTTTTTTTTGAGACCTTAGGAAAATATTTACATAGTTACTATAAGTTGTAAATGTTTTTTCCCCCTCTTTCTAATTAGACCAACTATAGTTAAAAGTCAGTTTAATTAATGATTATATTAGCCTTTGTAGAGAACAATTTCGATCTCATTGAACATTTTCTTCCGTATAACTATTTTGCAATTTAAAATTCCTCAAGTCATCAGGTGTTTATTGAGTACTTACTATGGGCCAGGTAGTGTTCTTGATACAGTGACGCTGTTCTGTTCATAATAATGAATGGAAAATAGATTTAAAACTTGATTATTTTATTTTATTTGCCCTTAAGTCTTGAATAGTCTGTATTAGGTTTGAAGGCGTATGGTAAAGCCACCCATTGAAAATATTTTATGTTTATCTTTCTGAAGTTCAGAAATAGAAGTCATTTGTGTATCTTACCTGCAAATGATACATAAGAAAATGATATAAAATTATCAGCAGCCAAATTGCAATATTATTTTATGGTATCATATGTAACCTTTTAAAAGGGCAGAAAAAAACTATCCTAGTTTCTTAGAATATAGTTCTTCATTAAGACCCATGTGTGTCTGTCTATATATACTTTTTAAAATGTTTTTGTCATTGAATTTGTTTATATATCTTGATCAAGAATAGGGTGTGATAGCTAGCCCATCTACATAAAAGGTTGAATCTACTCCCTCTTAATTTTATTTCTTCTAAGGAGATAATTTCTTTTAACTGTATCTAAAGTTTCAGAAAATTGGTGTTATAAAATTGCTTGCTACTCAAGTTGCTTTGAAATATTCTCTCTAGATTTTGTTTTTCTAACGGTACTGATTCTTTTACTCACCTTCTTAATCTTCTTATTGTTTATCTTAATAGTGGGAAATAGAATATTACAAAATGAATATTACATGGTCAGTATTAATAATATTAGTGTGTCTGATTTATTTTCTTTTCTAAAAAATTAGAAACAGATGATTTAAAAAACATTGGAGCTCTGACCGGTTTGGCTCAGTGGATAGAGCATTGGCCTGCGGACTGAAGGGTCCCGGGTTCGATTCCAGTCAAGGGCATGTACCTTGGTTGCGGGCACATCCCCAGTGGGGGATGTGCAGCTTGCGGCTGGTCAATGTTTCTCTGTCATCCATGTTTCTAACTCTCTATCCCTCTCCCTTCCTCTCTGTAAAAAAT